TGCAGAACTTTGGAGTACTCTCTCAATGCACGATCGCTCACCCTGGCCGGTTTCGATGAACTTGTGGAAACCCAGGAAAAAGTCCTCTATTGCTTTTGTAAAGTATATTTCTTAACAATACACACGTGAATATAACAACACAACCGTGTTTAGACTGTAAACATAATAAACTCTCATCTAAATAATTTTATTGATCACGCACATAAACCCAGTTGTCCATAAAACGAAGCCTATGGACGGAATGTTTCTTGAAGCCTTTCTTGTGAAATGTACAGTAAGATTTTAATTTCGGCAAGATAATTTGCTCTTTTTTAACAACATTGATCTTCTTTGCTCTGAATTACCTGATCTAATACACTGAACTATAAGACTCGTATATTGATGGTTTTGTTAGAAATTTCTTTTTTGAACTAATCAGCCTTTTTGAACTTAAGACTCCCTATTTATATATGTGGTTACAATGGCAACATTTTTTTGTCTCATTTAATGATTTTTCCCTCCTGTTTCCACCAAACGCAATACAACGCAACGATAAAGTGGTCGAGGAAATCTTTTGACAACATACGATGAAAAACGCTCGTAAAATGCAAATTTTAAAAATATCGGTTAACTAGTTACTTGTCCGTAATAAAACAATTTGATAAGAAGTCGTCCACCCAGCAGGATAACCCGAATAGCATCGGCATGAAACCTGCATAAAAATAATCCTGACATAAAAACTACCGTCAATGTCATACCCCTTGGAACCTTAATAGCGAGTTAATGATAATGTTATTAGCAGTTTTGCCATTCGTCTTCCTCTCAAGCTTTTGCGAAGCTCAACTCCCATGTTCTAGATCCCCAATGCAACGTAGAGAGGCCTTTAAGGGCCTTTGTGCCTTTACATGGGCCGGATATCAGACCTGGAGCATAAAAATGAAATTAGACATACGAAGATTAATTACTTTCAATATCACAACAATTTCAGAAATTTACTTGCATATACCGAAAAGTCTCATCGAAGATTCAATACTTAGCTGAGGTTTCTTTCGTTGATATAAATATACATATGTTTCTCTAGCATGACAAATGCCGACTACATAATATATCAGTGAAAAGAAGAAAAGGAAATTCCAAAGCTATAAGGCTCACGAAGATATTTGTAGTGGTTTTATGTTTACGTCGTTAGTGTTCTTGACCAACAGCATGCACTAACTAAATAAATGTAATTACAAACTTCTAACGAGTCTAGGACTGAGGTGATATCCTTTCGATAAGAATATCAGGGCCGTTATCACAGAGCTGCGCACTGATATCTCAAATCCTTCTATTTTTACGCTCATAAATGTTAGAAATGGTCTGTAAGAGTTGAGTGCTTCATCAAACTTTCCTGATGGACCGATACAGCCTTTCGTTACCAGTCTTCCTCGGAGTGTCTTGATATTGCGGGGCGGAAGACACTATGTTGATGTTGTTGAATCTGAGGGGTTAAGGAGATGAAATGTTTACTTATACACCGTTGTGGAAGACGACTTTTCCCAGGTAAATATAAGCATAACTTAGTTGATGTTCGTTCCATAATTTTTCTTACTGTTCATATCGAAGACTAGCGAAAACCTCGATCAGAAAGCTACCTAAACATCCATTTGATCCGAAGGGAAAATATTTAGTGCATGATTAAAATTCTATTTTTATTTTCCATTGTGTGGATGTTTCAGGGATTTAATTATCGTCCATTTCTCCCGTCCATTGCCAAAAATAAAGTGACACCTTCTTGGAGCTTTTCGAAAAGCTCGCGATCGCGATTGTTAAATGCACGATGGACCAACGTGCTCTCCTCAACCCTGAATACATGTATCTGTTTTTGTATGATCAATATTATCTATTAATTTTTTTAAATTTTTTTTTGACGTATGACCCTCTTCCATTTCGTTAATTGTCCGAGCTTGAGTTTCAGTTATTGAGTGATTTTGCAAAGGTGAAAGTCTGGGCAACGGAAAAAGTACGGAGCGGTTCGTCAAAAAAATTGATAAAAACTCAATATTACTCTTTATTTGATCCTTTTCAACTACATATCACACTTGTCTGAACTGGAATTTTACTTTCTGTGTGACTGTACAAACCAAAAGCGGAAAACTATTGAGCGGTGCGTGAAAGAAAGGTTAGAACAGGTTGTCCGAGTTCAGTTATTTTGTATTTCATGAGACAAAAGAAAATGTTGAGAGCTTTGGCTGAGACTGGCCCTCCTATAAGCATGTCCTAAATTTTTGGCAGGATTTTAGAACACGAGAGTGCTCTCGTGTCATAATTCAAATGTTCCATGCTAATTATCTTAAACATCTGAAAGATTAGAAGAGATTAACCTTCCGTCGGATGTGAGATTAGATCTTTCTCAACCAAAGGATAGAAACCTGCTATTGTGTAATGGGTGGAGGTATGCCCGAAAGGTGAACAAAACAGAAAGTGTAATGTATACGCAAACCTCGCTCTCCTGAAAGGTTCTTTCGACCAATTCCTAAACTCGATTTTAAGGTATAAGACTCCAAAAATGCCTAATTTTCATCGTAGTCACTAAGGAAGGGCTAAAGCAATCCAACAATCCCAAATTTTGAGGCGTTGTATTAAAACATATTATGATTAAACAACATTAGTGAAGTTTTTCGTCGGACGCCGAAACTTGATTGGTTTTGTTCGTGCGAATCGTGTGCCTCGCTCCCACGCTTGCGTGACACTGGTGTCAATATATTCACAACAAAACAGCTGAGTTCTGATCGCCTCGCGGATCAAAGAAATAGGTATCTTTTTGTCGTTCGCTAAGTCATTATTAAACTCGCGACAAAAATTCCAGTTTCTGATTCTCTAGAAGTCCAAATATTCAATCTCTGTAAGACGTTTTGAAGAGAATCGACAACGTCCCTCTAAGACGGAAGATTCGAGAGCTCGTCAGTCCTTAATTAACTGTCTTATCTCCGTAAGGGAAGAATCTTCATTTTTTTAAACTTTTAATCCCCGATTTTGTCACCCGGTTCAACTAGTTCTTTCTCTCTTGGGTAGTCAGTCCTATTTGGGCTGTTGTTATCGGAGGGAAGAACCTTTCCTATTTTTCACCTGGTTCTGTCTCCCACGGGTAGTCAGTCCTACTTGGGCTGTTGTTATCTGAAGGCAGAACCTTTCCTTTTTTAATTTGGTTCTATCTCTCTTAGGGTGTTGGTTCATTTTAGACTGTGCGTTTTTATCTTATAACAAACTAATTTTGAGTATGAATCGCGAAATAATAAAATTTACTTGTCTCGATCGTTCATATTTTTTCCTTTGCAGATTTAATATAACGTAAACCATGTAAAATTGTGATGAAAAAGCCATGTTTGTTTCATTAGAAAAAATAATTCTCTTCTTGAGATGACCAACCAACATGAACTGAATCATTTATAGTAAGTGCACGTTCCGTTGACTGGTAATTTTCCGTCGATGATGTGTTTGCCTTGGTGGTGTCTGCCCTCAAATCCCATGGATGTTTCATTAACAAATAAATAACAAATTTAGGAATAAAAAACTCGTCATGAATAGGAACAATAGGTGAGCTAAATTACACCTGTACGTCGTTAATTAAAAGAAAGTTCCGTCTCGAAGTGAACCCAAATCGCCGGCAAAACAGCTTTGTCTGGAGAATTAATACCTGAATATTAAATGAATGGAGAGGAATAGTTTCTAGAAACCTTGAATGGAATGTTAAAAGCTTTTGGTGTTTACAGGAGCAGTTATTTCACAGAAGAAGGCAATTTAAGTGGCTGAGAAAACATTTCAAAACTCAAATACGAGGCATTTTTTAGTGTTAGTACTTATGAGTGGTCCACAAAATTCTCTCTTTTCCTTTAAAAAACTTCTCTGGTCGATTTTACATTCTTATATCTGCACTGAACTAGTCATTTTCTTTTATTAAAAATAAACTTCTTCTGTAAACTTGGTTCCTTATTATATTCAGTTCAAGAAATTGCCTAACTTAACTCAGGTTATTAATTACAGCTGTGGATGTTATTTCCAGTTATGTATTCGCAAGATAAATGGGTAGAAGTTTTACGAACAGAAATCTTTAAAGCGGTGATAAAGACAGTGCATCTATAGTATGGAGTTACATAAAGATTGCTTTGTTGAAAGTTGGTAATAATTTCTCAATTAAAGACTTTATTCTCTTACAAGGTAGGTCATAAGTAAAGCAAACATACTGGACAAGACTTCAAAAGTGTAATCATAAATTAGACAGTCTTATTGTTTTAAAACTAATACAGTTGTAATCTCATATCTTAAATTAAAAATACTTTCATGAGTAAGACATTTATTGACAGCCTTGCGTTTCACTGTCCCACAGGCGGGATCGTAATTAGAGCATATTAAGTTGAGTGCAGCTGAACCGAAATTTTGGATGAAAGCGTACACACACTGTATTGAATTAATTTGGACGAAGCTCTCTACTTTATCGTACATCATGATAAACTGCAAAATACTATCGGAAATGAGCTATTTCCTAGATCCTAAAGTTGAATCTTTAAAAGCTGTCGGTTAGTACCTGACAATATAAAATATTAAAGAGGAAAAGTGACCCAGCCGACAAAACTTTTGAAAATAGAATAACACGGTGACATTTATTTCTTTAGATCTATCGGTGCGTTTTTACTTAATTTAAGAGTAACTCCAATGGGAAAAGAAAGTATTCTCTCCTCATAATAATTCCGATTTTTTTATACTGGCTATTTGAAGATTCCTCGATGATTTTTTCGTTCCACACAAAGAAAAACCTAACTGACCGGAAGCTCACTAATCGTTCCACTTATATCGTTGTGTAGTTTTCTAGAAGCGACAAGATGCATCGCTTTTCATTTTAATCATTTAGATGTTTGTACCGTTTCTATCCTTCGAGTCTACTCTCATATCACCAAAAAATGAAATGGAAATGCATGTTACTCGGCTAAGAAGTTTAAGTTATTTAAAAGAAAACTTTTATATATAGTTTTCCTACCATCAATCTACGCTCTACTAAGGTTTCGAAGTGGCAGGTTTGCCGGGGCGATACGAGAAAGGTCTGGGACCCTGTACACTAGTTGTAATAAACCTTCTCTGAATCCTGGCATCCGAAGAGAGTAAATTATAGGATTTACAAGTGAATTGCCTAAAAATAAAACTGTCACAGCCATATAAATATGAACATTCATAAAACAAGTGAAGGAAAGGTGAAGACACGCTAGATATATCATCGCTGGTAGAAAACAAAGTAAAGATACAAGTGAGACGATAAGCGCAGTACCCGTCAGTTTTCTTTCTCTTTTGGACCTAGAACGGAATTGAGGATGACGACTACATCGTACTTTGATAATAATGAGGATGTAAGATACACAGATAGAAAATAAGGAAACTGCATAAAATAAGATATACAAGTAAGTAGCAATTACCACTTCATCAACAATTTCCCATAAAAAAATTTGAGCAGCTTCTCTAACTATAGGTATTAACCAAATGACAATAATTATGGCTCTATGAACCCATTTCCTCACAAAGCGATGCCTGAATGGACAAAATGTTGCGTGTAGCCGTTCTAAAGAAATAGCAATAAGATTTGTAAGGGAAGTGAACGAGAAAAAATGTACAAATACACGAGATGTATGATGAGACCAAGTAGTCTCTCGTCTGTAATTCCATTGAGGACAGAACCTCGCTACTCTGATTTCAATCTGTAGCGGCCCAGAGACTGCGCCCACCAAGAGATCGACTATCGCCAGATGGATGATCAAATATGTACTCCGCCGCTGTAGCTGCCGCTTCTTCTTCACAAAAACAGCAATGGTGATGATATTAAGGATGACAATGGCCAGACATTCGATGATGAGGACCACAAGCCATGGAATACACTGAGAAGCTGAGGAGAAAGGCTGCATTTTCTCCGAGCTCTGTTAGCTGCCATAAAAATAACAGAAAACAGTTCAATTTGAGATAAAATGAAATATGACTTCAATATTCTCAATAAAGAAATATGTCAAATATTGCTTTTTACGCTTCTTTAACGTGTTTTGAAGAACTAAGTTTCGTCCATTGACTTAAACTGATCCTCATGTTTCTTTATGCGAGATTCCTATCCGGAATTTTAATCATTCAGCCTGTTCAGTTTTTTTTTAATTTCGATAAATATGATATAAAACTTTTTCGATATTCACTGAATAAGCGGAAAGCTTTGCCACAAGTGATCTCCATTGCTTGAACGAAATTTAAGCCTCCAAAAACAGACGGCAACAAAAAATTTAGAGATCTTCCGGAAATAGAGTAGAAAGACTAAGTAGAAAGACCTGCTCCTCTTCTCGGTGCCGCTTTTAGAAATACGGTTGTTGTTGTTACCGCCTTGAAAATTTCAAAGACCAATTAACTTTAGATGGGTTGAAATATTAATAACATTTTTAAAAGGAAAAACATCTCTTATATTTTATTTTCTACACCCAGAAAGTTTAATCATTGTCTATTCTCGCTTCCGATAAATTTCTTCCTTTGTCAATATCATAGGCAACAAACTAGAGAAAGAGATCATTTTCGTCGCGTTACGATTATTAAGATTATCAATGACATATTTCCGTCCATATTGATTCAGTTTTCCTCATCACATCGAAGGCAGAATTTGCGAACGAATCTTAAGAATATTTTGAACTTGCCTCACTGATAACGAAAGTGTTTCTATCCTTCAACGAATTGAGTTCAAGTCAAATGCGGAAAGGGCGGTTTTCAAATAGAAAAGAAAGCAGCATGCTGAGGAAGAGTGCAATGCTGACTAAACTTATCAGTTTTTCCGAATTACCATAGCAACAGAATTATATTTGCTACCTTTCTTTTGTGCTTTGACTCAATTTCATGTTCCTATTTTTTGGTGCAATACATATCTGAAAGTTTGATAATTCAGTCTCCCTCTATTTTTGGAAAAAATTTCTTCTTTTTTCAACAATACAACATTCTTTTGAAATACTCTGAGTAAGCAAAAGCCTTTATACAATAGATCTCAGTTGCCTTAATCGTTTTATAAGCATCATTAGAAACAAGCTAAAATGTTCCACATACTTGTAAAAGATTGTCGATGTGCGTAAATATGATAACAAAGATAGCAAGAGGGGATCAAGTCCTCTCTTTAACATGGTAAATGTTGTACTCGGTAATGAAACCAACAAAGAGCTTTTCATCGTCTCGTCACGAACGTGTAACGAATGCTGAGAAGCAACAGGCTTCTCACAAGAGGTCTCAAATTCATCAACTGTTTCATAAGCATTAAAAGAAGGAAAAAAACTAAAATTCTAAAATTTTCCACAGACTGACAAAGGATTTTCCATAACTTCTCTCCACCCATTTACCTGGTTTTACCTCATCTCACCGATGTTAGAGTTTGTAAACGAATGAAATCTTATGAACATACCTCACTGATAATGAAGTACGTCGTATCCTCTTAAAAATAAGTTAGAGTCAAATTTCCGTCCATATTGATTCAGTTTTGCTCATCTCACCGAAGGTAGAATTTGCAAACCAATCTTAAGAATATTTTGAACGTGCCTCACTGATAGCGAAAGTGTTTCTATCCTTTAACGAATGGAGTTTAAGTCAAATGCAGAAAGGGCGGTTTTCAAATAGAAAAGAAAGCAGCATGCTGAGGAAGAGTGCAATGCAGACTAAACTTATCACTTTTAGAACTCCAATTTAGTTTTTCCGAATGATTGACAGATAATAGCTGAAAGGAAAACGACGTTTTTAGAGCAGCTAAACAGGCATTACAGATAAAAGTATCCGCCTGAACTTCGCGATTTTTAGTGTGTTTAAAGTCCTGTATCGTCGTAAATCCAACTACAAAACAGCTAAATATAGAGAATCAACATAAGCACATCAAACGAGTGGAAATAAATAGTTTCTAAAATCCTTGAATGATGGTTTGAAAGCTTTTGGTTTTTACGGGAAAAATTATGTCATTGAAGCAGAAGTAAGGGAGGTAAGCATCATCATTTATAGGCATCAAAAGAAACAATCTAACATTCTAAAAACTTTTCCACATGCTGTAATACGATAACAAAGATGGCAAGAGGAGATCAAGTCCTCTCTTCAACATGATAAATGTTGTACTCGGTAATGAAACAGGAAGATCTTTTCATCGTCTCGTCACGAACGTGTAACGAAGGAACAAGCTTTTCGCAAGGTCTCAAAATCCTCAACCGTTTCATAAGCATTAAAAGAAGGAAACAAAACCAAAATTCTAAAATTTTCCACAGGCTTACAGAGGATTTTCCATAACTTCTCTCCACCCATTTTAACTCGCTTTACCTCCTCTCCCCAAAACTAGAGTTTGTAAACGAATTAAATTTTACTAACATACCTCACTAATAACGAAGTACCTCGATCCTCTAAAAATTTGACCAAAGGCGGTTTTCAGAATGAATAAGAAAACAACAAGCCAAGGAATAGAGATAGAGAATAAACACACCACTATCAAGACTCGAAATTAGCTTTCAAAATGTCTGACATATGATATCTATAGATGTCGTAAGACGTTTTGACTGCAACTGAACAGGAACAACAAGTAAGCTACACTACACCTGTACGTCGTTAATTCAAAGAAAGTTCCGTATCTATGTGAACCCAAATCGCCGGCAAAACAGCTTCTTCTGGAGAATCAATATCTGAATATCAAATAAATGAAGATGAATAGTTTCTAGAAACCTTGAATGCAGTTTTGAAAGCTTTTGGTGTTTATAGGAGAAGTTATATCACTAAAGAAGGAAATTTAACTGGCTTAGAAAACATTTCAAAATTGAAATACGAGGCATATTTTAAATTTTTTTAATTTCGGTTCACAATATTTTCTTTTTTTCCTTAAACTTGAACTTCTTGAGTCGATTTTTCATTTGGTGATAATTTTTTCTTTGATTTTAAGTTGAAAAGTTGTGGTAGCGTGATCTAAGGTGTTAAGACACTCATCAGATCAAAGAGAGCGACATTATGGAGAATCATGTAAATGTCTGAAAATGTGAGAGGTCCTATCAAGTGTTCTTGTACGCGTGTGGATAAATGTCGAAGGGTTTCGCCGACATAGCAGGCGTTAGAGCCCTCACATAAAAACTTGTAAACCACACACGTACGGAGCCCACGAGGGATAGGGTCTTTCACCCCAAACATATGACCTATTTTAAAAGATGAAAAAGCTAACTTTACATCGATGTTGTTACAATAACACTTAGCAAATTGGCGAACCCTTTTTTGCGTGACAAAAGAAAAAGAGCCAATGTAAGGTAATTTAAAATAAAAGTTTGTAGTAGTGTCTGAAACGGAGACCGGGGGATCGCACTCATCACGGTGAGCGTGAGGTACCGATTGACAACCCTTGAACCAGATTGGCTGGAAAAAAATTCTTTTTAAGGATTTCAGTGAGTTTCTAGATGTCTTCGTGGAAACCCAACCATGTGTTGTTGATCTTGTAGGCTCTATCAACAAGAGTGCGAATGAGACCCAGTTTGTAGGGATAAGGTATAAAGCTAAAATAATTAGTCAACAGGCCCGTAAAGGTTTTCTTACAGTCAACACTTAATCACCAACTTTATCATGTTAATGTAATAATTTCTTAATTAAAGACTTTATTTTCTTGCAAGGTAGGTCATAAGTAAAGCAAACCTACTGAACAGAACTTCAAGAGTACCGTCATAAATTCGACGGTGTAATTTTTTGAAACTAATACAGTTGTAATCTCATATCTTAAGTTAAAAATATTCTCATGAATAAGACATTTATTGAC